GATGAGTTTAAAGAAAATAACGTACCGAAGAGCACCATCCTTTCCAGCACTGAGTAGCATCGCACCACCTGCAGAACTGCCAGGCCAAAAGACTACGCGATTTGGGGGACGAGAGTGTCCGACTCGACGGTACACTGTACGTGGACCACCATCAGGTCGATCGAAGTAAGATACCTAGGTATAAGAAAATTAATACCATTAAAGTCAAACGAAACTTTCAGTCAGAGCTGAACAATAACTTGGCAAACAGGATTTCTTGTACTATTAGGTTTAACAAGGACACTTCTACCTAATTTACCTGTTTTAAAGACGGGCTTCAAAATAAGTTAGCAAATATGGGGTCATCACATAATATAATGAAGCACTATGGTATATCATACGTATTAAACTAAAATGATGGATAGATTTCTACACGAGGGATGTACTTATAGATTTGTGAATATTGATGAATTTATTACAAATCTCTTACTTTTTAATATTATTTGTCTGATAGCAGACGTGTGTTACTGTCATATAAGTTCACCGCGCAAGCAAGCAACCCTTCAAGTGGAATATTTGAGCATAATTCGCACATGCTGGTACATCAATTCAGTTTCTTCACAAATCTTTTGGTTAGAACTCAGCTACTGAAAACAGGATTTTGGGGTGTCACGCTCTCAGTCAAAAATAGTGTGAGGGCTAATGAACCTATTCAGAAAAATAGGCTGAGAGTAGATTAAAACGTAGGACCAAACAGCTGAAAGCATGGACAATAACTTAAATCACCCAAAGCAGTAGCACCTGAATTTCTTGAAAACTTCTAATTGTTTTGTAAACCACAAAAATCAGATTTCTTGACCAGGATATATGATTGTCGCCATCATATTGAATTAAGAGCGGCACAATTCGTTCTATTCTGGAAAGCAGTCTACGATTAATGACTACATACCGATACTAATCGTGATGGAAACAATTTCGACACCTGAAATAAAACTTACAACTGAAGAAATCCCAATATTTTTCTCTCTCTCTCTACATATACACACATGTAGTCATTCAGATGTGAAAACCTAGAGATGATACAACGTCCATATAAAAATGAAGGCATTGAAAAGACTTTTGCAAAGTAGCGGATAAAGTTGAGAAATGAAAGTTATCTGAATTGTATAATTTACTTTTATGCAGTTATCTGATCCAGATGTAACCATTGCACTAGCTGCATCGCCTCCGGGTATACAATATATTGTGATTACACTACCACAGTGTAAATTACGCGCTTGACCAACTGATCGACTTTTGCCATCCTCTTTAAGTTCCCAACAATTGATGTATCCCGTTTCACAACCAGACACTAAGTAGACATCATTATTTTGGCTAGGTAACAAAGTAACACAGCTATTTTCATCAATATTCGAAGGCTTCTGCAAACCATGCGAACCTAATTACATGTAAACAGATGTTTAGAAAAAAAGTGTAGTCATACAGAATCAACAAGTGAGACACTTACCCAGCACCTAATATTTTGCAGTCTGTTGGTGTTAAACAACATTTAAACAATATATTATGATACTATTAGTTTCCGGTAAAATTTAACGTAGCAGTGTGTATTAAGCAAGAGATACAGAAGAAGGGGATATAATTCTCAAACACCGACATTTTAACTAGCATATTAACTGGCGCACGTTGGTGGCATAGCGGTTAGGACGCTCGCCGATCATGCACATAGTCCGGGGTTCGATCCCCGGCCGACGCACTCCTTTACTTCGCTAAGCCAGAAATAATGCTGGTGAAGAGGAAAGGTTGGGCATGAGGCTAGCAACCCCATCCTGTAAAATAAACATTGCTACAGAAACTTCAAGCCACTAACTTGAAGCCCTATGTCCCAATGGGGAAAGTGAAGGAAAACAAAATATTAGCTGGCACTGAATGTTATCATGATTAAATTGCTCGGTTAGTGGAAAGGATAACTAATAGTGTGTCTGATTTAAAGTGTTGACCAGGTTTAAGCTGAAAATACCATTAGCAAGATACTAGACACAGTACTGAGTTAGTCGCTGATGAAATGCCTCAGTCGTTCACAATGCCGTAGATTAATTCTTTCTTATGACCTCAAAAATTTTGACTTTCTACCAATTCTCACTAAACGTTCTTTCTATACACGTTCTTTTATTGTAGTCATCTTTTATTTTTATGCTGATTAGAAATATGAAGACTTCAAGTGATACGCTTCTGTGAGACATTCTCCCCTTATTTCACCGATTTTGTGGAAGTTTAACACTTAAAAATATTCGGAAGTTTCCGGACAACTGTTGGGCAATCACTGTACACACAGACCACTTCATTTTAGCTTCTCATTGGTCAAACAGCAGCAAGAAAGGAATGTAAGAGAATTTGGAAATGTTTTTGAATATGATTCCGTAATAGGATGTTTTTTTGACAGAGCATACATCAACGATATTATTTGTTTGCTGATAACGTTTCGAGCACAGTCGATTGCTCATAACCATACCATGAGGTTTATGAGACATCAAGGGAAGATAAATCATCCTGATAGATACTGATTCTGTTGACATGATTAGACTGATGTAATGTATGCGTCAGAGAAACTCATCAAACTCAATGACTTCAGAATAAAGAGTCAGAAAAGATGGAATACAACTGAAAGTTTTTTGTAGACTATGCTACGAGCTAATTCGTGTAGGACATAAATGAAACAAAACAAAACATAAATATTAGATACATATGATTACATTTCTACAGTTCCAAAATTTTACCGAGTCCTAGGTTTTATAGCCTTCTGGTAACGACTTTTTGGCATTTAACGACGAAATATATGGTCTTCTCAAATGCTACAGTTGATAAAGACACGGATTTATATATATGTAGGAAAGTAATATGACTATCAAGAAAGCTTTGATGGCTTCACTTGGTGATTATGGAAACTTTTTGAGGAGGTCAAATATGAGCACCATGAGATGTAAGTAAATGACGCGGTTTTGCTTAAGTAGTCGCTGTCGCTATGCAACGATGACCAGGTGCATGCTTTAACCAAAAGAAAAACAGGAACACTACATAATCAGACACGTGAGTATAGCTTAAACATCCAAAGAAACTTGGCAATGAAGCATGATACAACGGTGAGAATGAACACTGCACGACATCCTAATGTAAAGCATTACGAACTTACCACTTCTAAAGCCAATGGATGTGATGGCCCCACAATCCTGAGCGAATTTCATTAGTGTGATATCATATTTAAGGTTGTGGATAATAATACGTCCATCAGCTAGACCAACAGCACAAACATCAATGGCCGGAGCCTGTTGCAAGCACGTAACGGATGCATCAAAACCTCTGAACCAATGAAGCAGCTTCTGTGATACAATATTCCACAACTGCAGAGGACCCTGAGAACTGCCAAAAAGGACCTTGTTTTTGTAGTTCTGGGGATGGAGCACAGATGTGATATAGAAAGATTTTGGTGAGAATTCGACCTCAACAGAAGGCTCTGAAAACGTCAGAAAATAAATACACTTACCCCATGTTTTAGTATCCCACGCCTTAACGAAACCCCCTTCATCGACTGACACTAAAATTGTGTTATGAAGTACGCATAAATGTGTAATATTGTATGTATGCAGCTCAAGCTTCTGCAGCAAGTATCGCGAATTGCGAAATGTGTATATCGCCTTCCCAGCAGCAGCAACTAGGATGTTACCACATGAGACGAACGACCTAATAGGGGATTCGACAGGATCACCTGAAATGTATATTATTATTGAGGCACTACTCCTTACTTGTCCCAACTAAAGTCAATCTAGGAAGCTACTTATTGCATTAATCGAAAGTCTGCGAAACCCACTTTGTATAAATTGAACCTTTCCCCTGTAGGCACTACAGCATAATACGCCCCAGAATTCGGGATATACTTCACAACAAATGGAACATCTGAAGAACATAATCCAAGAACTCTATACGGATCAAATATTCGAGACATCACGCTATACTTCGTAAACGCCGCCTACAGTATTTCGTGAACAAAACAAATGTAAATTAAAGGAATTGTCGTCTTTAAAATCAGATTGCTTTTGCAAAATATAGAGTCATCTTTGGCTTTTTTTACCATAACAACATTTTGTTACATTGAAGGCGGTAATTTGAATGTTAGTTACTAGTTTGTTGTCATGATTGTTTTTTCATGCTTTAATACGTCTAACGCACTAAAAGTTATTACTCAGTCAGTTTCGAATAGATTACTCTTAACGTTATTTTTTTAGCTTCGGTAGATGAGTAAGATTATCTGTGCTGATGATACTTGTTATTAAATGTTTCACAAATTGAATAGGTACCTACCTTCATATTATGTACATATAACTGTAGGACCTGATGATGATCATCATCAGCATGACCAGCGTTATTTCAGAACATTGTGGGTCGATAAAATCTTCGTTTTCCATAAAAAGGCACTATCGAAAATTAGGTTAAAATAAGTTTAGAATTGTTGTAAGCTTGGGGAAGTTGTCGAAAAGCATATTTTTTGTTCATGAACCCAAGCTTACTATAATGTTGAATTAAATCTCACTAATTCTGAAATAATTCTAACATTTTATAGTGAGTAACCATTCTTTCGAATAATTTTGATGGGCATATTTAATCAGTTAATTTTTAATTACCAGTAAACGTCAGTGGGGTGCGACCTCAACAACGACCAGTGAGCAAGTTAGTGGAACCTGGCAGATAATGCTGTAATCTTGAAAAAATGATGCTTAATGAAGCGTTATGTTACTAAATAGGATATCTGCCAAGTTTCAGATTCAGACTATAAGGATAGAAGGCCCTTGTTGCCTATGTTAATTCTCGCGATATATATCTCTGCAGAGATTCAGTTTCTCTTTGAAAGCGTTCACCGATGGAGCTGTTACTACTAAATCAGGTAAGGAGTTCCAGTCGTTGACCACTCTGTGAGAGAATCTAAACTCCAAACGTATTTTATTCGACCTTGGTTTGAGCACCTTCTTCTGGTGACCCCGTAAATGTATCCTAGAGGGAGAGAAAAAGTTCAAAAGGTCAATCCCCAAATCACCCTTGAATATACGGTAAGCCAAAATTAAGTCGCCTCTCCTCCTTCGATATGATAATGGGAAGAGATTTAAATGCTCCATCCTCTTATCATAAGGAAGGTGTGAGATACCACTAACTAATTTTGTTCCTACCCTCTGTACTCTTTCCAGGGTATGTGCCTCCTTTTTGAAGCATGGACTCGCCGCTTGTATGCAGTACTCTAGATGAGGCCTGACATATGTTGCATAGAGTACTTGGAACATACCCTCGTCTAATCGTTTGAAAGATCTTCGAAGTGCCCATAGCATTCGTAAAGCCTTAGCTGCGGCTCGATTACAGTTCGCCGTTGTTTTTAAGTCATGGCTAACAATAATTCCTAAGTCTTTTTGTTCCCTAACATCTGGCAGTTCTGTGTCCCCCATGGAGTACGACGTGTAAGACTTCTGACCTAGGTGCATTACCGCGCTTTTCTTGGAATTAATTTCCAGACTCCAAAGGTTAGCCCATTCGGTTAATTTGTCTAGATCGTTTTGTAGTACCAACCTATCATCGCTACTATTTACGGTTTTCCATATCTTAATATCGTCCGCAAATAGTAAGGAAGATGAGGTAAGCATTTTTGGCACTTCATTTACGTATAATAAGAATAGCAGGGGGCCAAGTACCGTTCCCTGAGGTACTCCACTTAGCTTGGGTTTGGTAAAGATTATATTGAGGTTTAGGCTAAGGACAGGTTAGGGTTAAGTTAACCTAATAACAGTTGCTTCGAGTTAGATAAGGGTTAGTTTAAGGGTATTTTCACGTTAGGGCTAAATTAAGGAAAAATTAGGGTTATTGTTGAGGTTAGAGAGACTAGATAATTACGTACATATAATATGGTCAATTTACTTTGCTGATACTCCAATCCAAAAGTGAGCAGATTACTGACTCTCCAGTTGACAATTTTGATAATCCAGAAGCATCCACATCCATTCCATCTGCTGTCGCAGATACCCAGTACTTCTAAGCCATATCTTCGCATCTCTTTGGCTACCTGGGCAGCCTTCCCAGCCGGCTTTGAACATTGTACGGACATTCCACGTACCCACTCCTATTCTTGCCTTCATCGAGAGAAGACGCATCAACTGACTGGCTTCCCGGAGGCTTTCACAAGCCCGCGTCATTTCGCCTCTCCGATTCTAGCGAAAAATAAGATTTTATTTGAAGATTTTGTATTTTTAATATATTTTCTGTGTTTTTAAGTTTCTCTAGAGGTTTGAGACATTTAGTAATGTGGGGTTGTTAGCGTCACGCCCAACCTTCGCTCTTTACTCAGCCTTGGGATCTGCTAGAAAACTAGCGAGCTAGTTAACTAGGCGAGGTTAAATCAAACAATGGGCTGGTCACTTTATAGGACTCTTGAATCGACGACCACCAGTGACTCGCCCACAAATACCATCAACAGCACGCACAGAACTGCCGGTGGACACCACTCCTCCAAAGAAAGAAGAAATCCTGAATGCGATCAAGCTACTGAATTCCATCTGAGAAGGCAGCAGAACCAGACGGCATTCCTCCCGAAGCACTGAAGACGGCCTCAGAGAATACGGTAAAAAGTTTGAAAAGAAGGAAGGGTGCCTACTGATTGGAAGAAGGGTTACCTGGTCAAACTGTCAAAGAAGGGCGACTTAGGCCTCTGCAAGAACTGGCGTGGAGTCATGCTATTGTCCATGCCGAGTAAAATACTAATTCGCGTCATCTTGGAGAGAATAAAGCATGCACTGGAAGCAGAACTCCGCCAGCTCGCTGGAACAAGCTGGATTCAGGAAAGGCAAACCATGTTCTGATCAAGTTGCAACTATACGCACGTCATCGAACAAAGCATAGAATGTCAGTCAAATCTCTACCTCAGCTTCATTGACTTCGAAAAGCCCATCGGCAGCGTTGACCAAGAAGTAATTTTGAAACCACTTCAACACTACGGCGTACCTCAAACCTTTGTCAACCTCATTCAACAGTTATATAAGAATGCCACGTGTCAATGATCCAAAATGGAAAACTCAGCGAGGCGTTCGAAGTGCATACAGGAGTAAGACAAGGCTGCTTGGCTATTATCATCGATGATATTCTTAATTGTGATGGACTGGATTATGCGTTAGACTGTTGGGGGCGAGGAGTCAGGAATACGCTGGACGACCGATGAGAAGACTCTAGAAGATCTAGATTTCGCTTTTGGATGGAATATGTTGAAGGTCACACAAACTCGAAGACTTACAGGCGAAAAGCAACAGACTGGCTGAAGAAGCAGAGAAGACAGAAGTTCACGTGAACATAGAGAAGACGGAGGTGATGAAAGTAACCAATCAACAGAAACAACAACCAGCACCAATCACTGTCAACGGGAGGGATTTAACAGAGGTTGCCTCCTTCACTTATCTGGGAAGCATCGTTACAACTACAGGCGGAATGGACAAAGATGTCAAAGTCAGAATCGGAAAGGCAAGATACGTCTTCATCAACCTGAAACCAGTTTGGAAATCTTCCGCACTCAGCATAAGGAACAAGATTCGCATTTTCAACACCAATGTGAAGTCGGTCCTTCTATACGGGTCAGAAACTTGGCGTGTCATGAAAAGGTTTTCCAACAGGTTGCAGACTTTCATCAACAGCTGCCTTCGCTGGCTCCATACTGAAGATCAAATGGCTAGAAAGAATAAGCAACAAGAAACTATGGGAATAAACCAGCCAAGAGCCGACTGCTCAACAAACATGTAGGAGAAAATGGAGATGGATCGGGCATACATTGAGGAGGCCACTGAATGACATCGCACTGCAGGCCCTCGGGTGAAATCCAAACGGGAAGCGATGAGTGGGTCGTCCTAGGGTGACATGGAGGAGTTCGTGTAAGGAAAGGATGAGAGAGTTTGGTCAATCGTGGACCCAGCTGAAGAGGACGGCATAAAATACAAAGAAGTGGAGATCTGTTTTGAAGCCCTATATTCCACTCGGAACGCGAGGGAATACTAATAAGTCCGTTGGTACTTTCCGGTGCTTATAGTATATTTTCGCCGGTATTCTTGTAGATGTGTATAAATTCACTTACTTAACCTGCCTGCTGAAGATTTTTGTAGCCAAGCAGACATATCAGGATGCAGCACACTTGCTGCAACTAGATCTATTTGAAGCCATCTGATCGTTCAGCAGGCCACATATCTAGTATCCATCCTACTTCTTTAAAATACTGAGTAGTAGGAAAAACTGAGTCAGAAACTACTTATTAAGCTCATATTAGTCTTGAATATGTTTGTTGCATTCCAATTAAAAAGTCCAGTATATCCCTTAGTTACCCTTCGAGAAAATACTGATTGGACTTGAACTTGCATAAATGAATTAGCTGCATGTTTCCAGTAAAATATTCGTTAAGCTAAGAAGTAGCAGTCACATTCACTAAAGATTTAACTCGTACAGAAAACAGAAAAGTCTGTTACAGCCTTTCTATTAACCTTTTTCTCCTGATTTCTCTGGTATGTTGATTTTATTTAGTGTGATAAATCGGCAAGTAATATCACAAAAACTGCAGTGTTACAAGCTTTATTTAGATTTATAGCATTGTTTGCTTACTGACACTAGAGCCTGATTTCATTTTTAAGGAGGACAATATTCTAGATATATTACTATGCTTATCTCACAGTAAAACAACAGAATTGGGTTTATTGGAGATAACCACATTATTTTGTTGTTTAACCTAGGGTTAAATGTACTGGCATAGAACGAACAGTCTAAATAAGCCTTATTTCATGCACTTAGTGTCAAAAATTATCGAATAATATTCACCATACCATTTGAGTACCTATCTTTATCAACACTTTTGACTAATAAATACAATTATATAAGATTCATGACTACAATTTTGTCATCACAGCAGAGAAAATTTGTCTAATTCTCCACTGATGGTCTTACACAAAATACAGGTGTGCAGTAAATAATTAGTCACTGGTATAAAACATAATCATTTATCACTGAAGTGCGCTTTCAAAGATAATTAATAAATAAATATCTACCCACACTGGATCTGAACCAAAATAACCCTAACTTCATAAGCCTGATAGCGTCTCGGATTTCGGTACCCTATGTGGTAATTCTATACAGGCTCTAAACTCGTTGCTGTCATTTTTCTTATTAGTTCTTATAAATATCTAAAAATACTTCGGTGAGTTGTAATTTAGTGATAGCTGGTCTGCTAACCCTTTGGTTACTTTGCCTTCATTTTTGTGAATGTTTGGTCGAGTGGAGACCATCGGTAAAGCGGAATACAAGAGTCTAAGCGCATCTTGAATGGTGAATACAGCTAGGATCAGTAACCATAGATGGAACTTGACCATCGCAATGCATGTGCTAGTGCACAATCACACCATAGGATGAAAATGTTGGCTTTAGAAATTAATATGGTTAAGTGGAGAGAAATAAGTTTCTGTTGGTTGAATCAATACTTAATACTTTTTTTGATTACAGCTTAATTCCACACCCTATTTTTTGGTACAGGTATGGATTTTCAGCATGTGATATCGGTAGCCCAAATTTTGCAGGCCGACCATAGATATCAGGTGTGCGTCGGCAGGGGATCGGACCCCGGACCATGTGCATGGTAGGCGAGAGTCCTAGCCACTGTGCCACCGACACACAGATGTAATACCAGTTTTCCATAGAGAACATGTTACCAAAAAGGTAGGAATAAATGAGACTATATAAAGCAAGCTCGAAAGTTATGTAACTAAATTGATATGACCATAAGCAATAAATTTGTGCTGTCTATACCAGTAGATGGGTATCTAAATGTCTTCGGGGTCAAAAGCAGATCCTGTAACTGCTATATATTTGACTGTTGGATCCCATAGTTTTGATAGGTATTAGTTACCGTTCGGAGTACTTGAAGTACTGTGAAACGGTGGTTTTACGCTGTAGACAGAATGAATTAAAATCAATGTGTTTTATTTTCATCTACTTAACATGAAAGTCTTTGCATTACAAACACCAAGAAGTATTCCATATTATATCATCGCTTAGTTTAGTATTAAGACACTACTAAAAAGCCGGAAGTCACCTGATATAACCTCCTTAACTGTAAAAAAGAGGAGGTGTTTAAAGAACAATTTAAGGATCATTACATAACTGCTCCACCCTTCTGTGCAACTCTTCGACACGTACAAAATTAGGTATTGTGTTCAACTCAACTCAGACACTAATTTTAAAAGATAATATGCTAAGATTCATCCACTGGACTGGTTACGATAATTTCCCGTCCTTTCTCCCTTAGGAAGTATGTCGTATAAAACTTTGTGCTTTGTATTGCATTTATAATCCGTGTTATCATAACCTGAAAATTGACAAATTTTTTGTTTTGCGTGAATCATATTTAATTGCACATTGTCTATCCATTTTATGAAAATTTTCAAAATTCTGTTTTATTGTTTCGATCTTCTCAAGAACTTTCTAATTGTCTTACAAGTCAATGTTGAAAATCAGTTAGTAAACTTTGCTATGGTCAAGTCAACTGTAGCACTATTGTTCAGAAGCACATCAGCTTTGAGAAAACGCAAAACTAATGAAACACCTGAACAACATTTAACCCAAGTTACACATTTATACTTGAATGGCAAAAATTTAGACGAAGTGGTAAGATTTTTTCACACAATATTCGACTTCCCCTAACTTTAACGCTCGTATTTTCTTCTGCATTATAATCACTATGGTTTCATTTTCAGGGTTATGAAATCACACTGTGTCAACGCTTGTCTGTTCTGTACTTGTATGATAATAAACTGAAATCGATTCCAGCGTGTTTAAATTTATCCCAGTTGACACATTTATATTTGCAAAACAATCAAATAAGCCGTATAGAAAATTTGAATTCATTAGAAAAGTTAGAAAAACTGTAAGTTTCTTTTTCTAATTCTGAACATATCCTCATTTCCTACCTCTTCTCTTTATTAACAGTTTCCTTAGCCGAAATCATATCAATCTAATCGAAGGTTTAGAAAGATTGACCAAGTTACAAGAATTACGAGTGGACAATCAGTTCTTGGATAGTGGAGAACGTTTGATTTTCGATGATCGCAGTTTAAATGCCATAGCTGTAATACATCTACTATTGTTCTCTTTTTTAGTATTATTATATATTTTACATACGTGTAGCTTGAGTTTGTCTTAAACACTTTCTTAAAGAAAGATGTGATCATTGGCTTATGAATTAGAGAAACACTGAAGATTAGGGATTAATAAGCAAATTTTTCATCTTAGTATGAGGCTGTTCAATCGCACGCATAAAACAGCTATTCTGTTTGCATCCTAGCTGAAGTTAGCTTATCATGGGAGTTACTGTGAATTAAATCAGTCCCACTCACATTTCTCAAATGAATGGTTAATCATAATTTGTAGATGGGGGAACTTAATTGAACAATGGCATAAACAGGTGAACTGACCGGTACTGAAACAATCCACGTTGTCATAAAAGAAGGGGGTTCAGATTCAAAAATACTACAGTCTTTCTAACCTATTAGGAATTGTTCGACCACTGAACGGTCGTCTCAGTAGCTTTTGGCTGAGAACACCAACAGTAAAGCTGAATGAATTCAGATCATCTGAATCTGTCTAAACTATTGGGGCTTGAATGAATGTTTATGTATTTTTGAATTTAATAAACAGAAGTGTTTAGTCTATTAAACAAGCACTAGATTTTCAGCCGGAAAAGTCCATGCTTCAAATTACTGCCCCACCTACTTCAGATCCAGCAACTAGGCACTGTTATCAACTGTCACATATTATACAAGTTTTTATAGACTGCAGCGTGAATAATATGCTCAGGATAACCAGACTCTAAGTAAATTCTTTAATTTGAATCCATTTTTAAATGCATTCTTCATTTTTTATCTCTCTCTCTCTGTCTGTTGTTCACCTCATTTTGCTTCGTTGTATTGTGATATATCTGTTGAAAATGAAATCACCAACTTACTAGAATAGCCTGACACGTTTGGATGTATCTGGAAATAAATTGGAAAGTCTACAGGATTTAATCAATCTTCATGCCTTGATCTCCTTGAGTGCAAGTAATAATTTACTACAATCAATTAATGACTTGGCAAGTTCTCTGAGTCACTGGCCAGATCTAAAAGAATTGAATTTACATGATAATCCTGTAATGAAGACAACTCGTGCAAGAGATATTATTATTCTGAGTGCAAAACGTTTAGGTAGGCTGATACATGAATGGTAAACATTACTTACTTCTTATCAGTAGTATTTTTATTGTTTTCTAGCTTGAAATTAAAAGGTTGATAATCTCTGATTGAAGATTAGTGGTTCATGTCATGTGTTGATTTAAATTGGTCTCTTAACTTCAGTCAATACTTCATGATATTCTTGAGTAAATAGTATTTTTAAATGTGTTAACCTTACTGAAATATTTATTTATTACCTTACGCTGTTTCGTGAATAACAGAAGAAATATTTGTTACTTTGTTCTCACATGTGTCCAAACTATATCCACTTTTGGGAAAAAGTGGTGTAGTCACTTATTGGTCTAAGTGCTCAAGTTTCAACGACTATGCCAAGGGTTCGAACCTCTCTACACCTACCTAAGTCTGGGCAGCCACGTATTAACCCTCATTGCTAACAACATGGAATTGCAAGTGTCTCTTCATTTTCGTCTGGAAAACAGAATCTCTTTCATAGCTTATTTTAAATACAATAGGGAAATGTGTTTAACTCATCCATGTTATTTCTTGTTTAATATAAATCAGTAGTGACATTCTCCCTATATGTGGTTGCTTCTGATAATCGATGATATCAGAGACCTGTAGCAGTATTTATCACCCAAATCCGAACTACCAGATCTCTTGAATTAAACTCATGTAACTGTGTCACTAAAATATTCAATAATTAGCGGTCATATGTAGCATGGACTTCATGACCAATTGTTATTTATTCAGTCCAAAGGTCATACTGATTCCATCCAAGTGAAATGAGATAGTATTGTGGTGAGAGCTGTCTGCTAGCCAAAATCGGTAACCAACAATTACGTCAATGTTTATGTCCCAAATCTTGGTCATGAGAAAAACAAGAACAAAGTCTTTGGGTGGGCGGATGCGATTCACAGCTATATGGTCTGACTTTCAAAGAAACGGCCACAAAGGAATGACAGAATAACTTTCAGCGAGAAAACAACCAATCAGAAGACGCTGTTTCTCTGCTAATAATAACGAATAATAATGTACATAAAAATCTATAAATATCTGCTGATTTCCTCAATAAACGATCTGCTACCTGGCCCTTGTCTTCTGTCGTTACAGTATTACCTGTGAATGAAATTGTCTAATGCTCTGCTTATGTATGTATCATGCTATAGTCTACATTTGTGGTATGCTAGGTAGAAAGTAAGTATCCAGTTGTCAAAATCTCAGCAGATGGAGTGCAGCTGGACCTCACCGTCCATAAATTAGACAGAAAGCAAAGTTAATATGTAATTTAACTTTAATGTATAACGACAATCAAAGTTGTCTCTATACACTGTAACGAAGTGGAAGCCACAGAAACAAAAATGCAACCGTTAGCCATAAAGGAGACAGTACTATTATTAGAATTTAAGTGAAAATATAACAGATGTAACTGCATTACTGAGAGTGAATTAGACTATCAAAACTGTGATTGAAGTTATATCACAGACGTGAATTAGGAAAGTATCATTCTCTTAGTCCACTAGTAATTCGTATATTGGTTCCGCTACCACTAACTTCATTTACAGCCACACGAGTTATGAGCCTACTAATCCTATAATTTCACACCCCTTCCAAGTTCTATGCATTCTATGTGTGACATTAATTGTTTTACCACTTCACATTTAACTAGGAATATAATCATAAACACTTTAATTGCATTTCATACTATTATTTTTTATGTATTTACACCTATGATTCAATGCCCTCACCGGCTATAATCTCTTAAAAAAACCATATATTCAACATTGTACAGCTTGGAAATAAATTCGCTGAAAAGTGTCTCTTCGCTGATTTTCTACATTAATATCAGACATACGTGACTGATGTCTGAGATATTTCAGACAATGAAAGTCTACAGTCTAACTGACTAATTGCTCTCTCGTAAACGATTATCTAATATCTACTATGCTATAAGCAATAGGGTTGTATCGTTCTTATTAAAAGCAGCTCTCTTATTCTGTTAACTTATAGCATCATAACATGAGTAATAAACAAAACAAAATAAAGTTGTTATTTTACCATAGTCTTATTTCACTGTTTTTTGCATTTAGAAATATTAGACGATAAGGTTATATCTAGACCAAATAGACAATTTATAGAAAATTGGAACCATCATAAAAATCTTAGCATTGAATCATCAGGTAAGCATTTGTTACTTGCAGATTATTGTTGCTTCCACCTATCTGTTTGAAATATGTATAAATTATTACTCATTGATCAACATCTGAAGGTAAGACATATCATGCCTCTATAATGAAATCAACAGAAAAGAAGATTCACCGGGCATTCTCAGACTGTCCTGTAGTTACGATAATTTAACAAGTTAAAACAACAATAATAATCATTACATGTGACAAATATATTTCTATTCTATCCCAGGCTTGAATTTCAATGACACGTAGTTTCTAGCCTCTGCCGATTCGTGATAGTATACCATTACTATCCAATGTCATTACCTCAGTAACTATCCTCATAACTGGTTTAGCAGGGATTATTACTTATAGTTTCTTACTGGAATTTCCCGAAACTCATCTTGAAAGTAAGGACTAAAGAGTGAACTGTTGTTCAAATGAATCTGTAAATAATTAATTAAAATACTTGTGATTATAATCATAGTTAAATGTCAAGTAGCAAAACTATTAGTGTCATATATAGAATAATTCATAAGATGTATAGATTCTGGAAACGGGTGTATAATTGTGTATAATTATCGTCAAAGGTGTCAGTTGTATCCTAAATGACTTAGTGGATCAGGTTACAGTTTTGAAACCTGAAAGCTACATGACTTCCTTCCAAGTTGCAAATACATCTTGGCAATTAGTGTCAAATGAGCAGAAATCCTAAAACCATGAAGTTCTGCTGAATTAATTGTTGAAACTGGCGAATACGTGCCAGGGTCACGTAAACTGCTTCCAAAGTGGGAAGGATCATACATGGTCACTGCGAGACGGGGTCACGTATATACCATCAGAAGTGCAAACAAAGAGAAGCGGGTGAACGTCAGCGAGCTCCGGAACTGGATACATCAAGATGAACAAACAAAGACGCCAACGCCAAAAAGATTTGACCACCTTTAGTCTAAAGTATTTGATGGGGGACGAGTGTGGTGGTGTGATACAGACAATGGGTTCCAATGGAATATTATTCTCACAGTAAAAGTCATTGTACTTGTCTGTGTTTACATCTGAATACTTTTTCCACATTTCAATACTGCATTAGCAACAGAATACCATGTGTATTTGAACATTCTAGTTCAAGTCGTTTAATGTAAACCGAAATCACACGCTCAGTGATTGCTTAAAGAATATAAACTGTATAGATATAAATAGCTATTTGTTCACTTGAAAATATACCTTAGCTTCCGTGTATGTCTTCTACTGTTACAGTATTATTTACTAATGACATTTCGAGCACAGTCATCATTAAGCCACTCACAACTTCTAAACTTTGTTTATATAATCCCATTATTTCTTACCTTTTGATTTTACTGGTAGCAGTAGTTTCCATATTTTCTGGTATCGACGTTGCATCATTCCTATTGCACGTGTTAGGTGTAGATTCGATTAACGAGGGATAGGTGATCCACCTACCCCTTCATCTACGTATATCACTCTTTATAAATATAGATTTTGATAGCGTTATTAGAAGACGGAGAGTATCTGAAAAATGTGATGTATTTGCGCTATACATTTGGAACAATCTGATCACACATTTACTTGTCAAGTCAATATATATGGAAAAGTTAAATTAAACAAAGTGACAAAAAGAATTAAGAATAATTAACACAAACGTTTGGTAATTCAATCAAATAAGGATTACCAAGGTAGGTTAAGAGTAATAACAAACTGCTTTTGAATACACAAGAAGGGGGGCTTAAGTTTATGAATGGCTATAGCTGAGGCTATAGGCATCTCCGTCTTCTAATAACGCTATCAAAATTTATAAAAAGATCTAATTGTTTTAAACTATAGATTTATCTCACCCTCTTGTGTAATTAAGTATTAGCGTATGCACTGGAATTACTGAGTTTTTCCCTAAGTTACATATCTTCTTGGGGTCAATCATTCTATACACAGCTAAATTCCTATGTACAGATAACCTGACTGACCCCTATCTACTAGTCCGACCTATGTTACTGACCTCATGACCATTGCAAGATATTTTGTATAATAAATTATTCTGTTTAATTTGGTTAATAGGGTTAAATAAAGATATTCGGTGGTGGAATTAAATTATACTCTACCAGAGTGCCTCAATTCTATTCTTTGAATAGATATAATGGTAAAGCTAAACTATGGTAACCACTCCGAAGGACCCCACCACTGATCTTGAGCAAATAAGCAGAATTAAGGATCAATAAAACTCTCAGAACCGCTAAAAAGGATGACCACAGACAGTAGTGTTCTTAGATTTTATTATATTTCTACTTCTATACTTTAATCTGCACCAAAACACCAGTCAACCTGTCAAACTTCCTTCTAAAAAGCGTGCTTTAGTTACTCCGATCAATCCATCCATTACACAGTAATACAGCACTCGACCTTCCTGAAACTCGCCGAACAAATTCGTGATTATTATTATTGCTCTGGGTTTGGAGTGGAGCATAGGGCTCCAACAACACATCTTAATTTCATCCTATTCTCTTCGGTTCGTTTCAGCTGACTCCACAATTGCTCATAAGCTTTCATCTCTTAACGCGATTTCTTCCATATAACTGTTGGACGCTGAACTCATCGTTTCCTGTTGGACTTCCACATGAAGTCCTGGAGCGCAATGTCATTCGATGGTGCCCTCAGGATTTACCCAATTGGTCTCCATTTTCTCCTGCATACTTGTTGAGCGATCGGCTCTCAGTTGGTTTGTTCCCAGAGTTTCTTCTTGCTAATTCTTTCAGGTTATTTGAACTTCAATGCGAAGGCAGCTACTGATGAAAGTCTGCAGTGACATATTGGAAATTCTATTCGTGATGCGCAGTGGAAGTCTCCCACCCATACAGAAGAACTGACTGACTGACTTAACATTTGTGTTGAAAATCCCAAGTGTGTTCCTGATGCTGAATGCAGGAGATTTCCAGACTGGATTCAGAGTGATGAAGCTCAGTTTTGCCTTTCCGATTGTGGCTGGCTTTGACATCTTCATCTACGCCATCACCTGTAGTTGAAACAATGCTTCCAAGACAAATGAATAAAGTAACCTCTGCAAAGTATCTCCCGTTGGTGACGTTTGGCTCTGGATTTTGTTGCTGTTGGTTGATTACCTTCATCATTTCCTGAAAGTTTTCACCAGCCTGCATCATTTTGTCTCTGTGATTCCAGTGAAGAATACGTTTTTTTGTATTTTTGATATATTTCTTGAGCGTTGAAGTTCCTGTGGCAGTTTGACTGGTTTTGTGATGTATGGTCACTAGCCTGACGCCCAGCCCTCCCTCTTTTCTCGGGCTTGAGACCATCTAGAAAACTAGCGAGCTTTTAAACTAGACGTTATTAAGTTAGGGATATAAATTTTAATTTGATTAGGCTATACCCCCCCCCCCCGTAATTACTAATTGGTTGTTGGTCATATGCCGAGGTGGCTACTATAGGTTTAAACTCTCCCGAAGTTGTTTGATTATCCGTTTTCATACAGAAGTAAACTCTAAGCACCGCAAAATAGCATCGCGCGAATGATACTGAACGCAACAATCACATGAAAAAGGTAATCATTACTAATAAAATACATACATTTATGATAATAATAAATGAAACTATTATAGAGGATATCTTTGTCTGACGTGTGACTAAATTATCTCCCAATTTTGCATTGGATTTTCAGTAGAGTAGTTAAACTACATTCTATAGATGTATTCATCCATACGACTGTATTTGACGTCCTTTTGAGAAATAGTAGTAGCTCTCATCGTATTCTTCAATCTTCCCCAAAATCCTTTAGTAGGACTGGTGTGGGTGTCTGTAATGGGATCCACAAAGTCTGTAGAATAGTTGAATATATCCAGATGAGGACAATGAATTTTATCCTTTTCATTATTCATTTGTGTCTACTATATATCCAGGTTTCACCAATCTAGTGATAATGGATATCAAGGTAGTAGACTTTCTCTCTAGTATTCTTCTGACGAATCCCTCTGTAAGGTGGTATCATACAATCCAATCACCCAAAATTTATTTGCTTTTTCACGACCTCGGTTTCATTACTCTTTCATCAAGACTGTTTCATCTATATGTACAACAACATCCACCATAAAGAAGTTACTGTCTCCATCTTCCAGGATGCATTTTCTTTACAGTGGTGGTACCACTGAGCAGTTGAGACAAGACTATTCTCCGTTAACGGAGAAATTTCGGCAGCTGTAGCTCTCACGAAATATTATAATCATCAGCTTACCTCCTCTCATACTAACTCGTCTCAAGCTATCTTTACAACAGTGAATGTGTCCATCAACAGATCTACTTAAGCTTTTTATACTCAATACTTCCACAGAAAAAAAATTCTTTCCCTTCCAATCAATCCCACATCTAAACAGTACTAAAACACTTCAACTACACCAAATTTTATTTGTCAGTCCGTTAGAGCATGTATGTAACAGACAATACAAACATTTAAGGATTAGGGACACTATAACAAACTGTGAGTGAGAAGCAGAACACAGATGACAGTTGAAACACTTTATCAATAATAATGATAATAATAATAATCACGGTACAAGAGGGACACTAAAGTTCATACTAAGAAAAGAGCGAGGCTGTTCCTGATTACCGGATACTCATTTTGGAATGATGCCTTCTCTTCTAAGACCCAGGCCACTACAAACATTTGCCTCAAATCAAACTGGATGAAACCTCGAACTCAGGTGGGGAGATTGATTGATCTATTCAAGGTCGTTAGTGCGGTCGCACTCCTGTGGTATTTATTGCTGTTAATGCTTAATTTGTTCATTTGGTTTAACAAGAATCTCGAATATTTCACTTACATAGGTCTATTTGTACTAAGGATTATACACAGTTTTCAAGTACGCCACTTCTCGCTTACTCAGCTAAGGATGACATTCCGAAGATGCTTCTTAAGGACAGGCATAGTTGTGATGTACATCTGCTACGTGGAGAAACAAAATTCAACTTTTATCGTGCATAAGTCATTGTCTTATCATAAGATAGATTACACATTGCCCAAATTTAACTTATTCATTTGTCAGTCAGTGTCTGCAATTATGATATTGCTATATAACCCCTAATTTCGGTTTCTTGTGAAATAACCATATCTTTCGATAACGTGCATTTCGTATCCCCGCTGTTTTTGAACGCGTAACTCTAACTGGTTGACACACATTTAACTATCAGTGAATCTAGTCTTCATCAAGGTCATTTAAAAGCTATGTTCAGCATCTCTGTAATTGTTTTGACTATTCTTTGAGACAGTTAAAGCTCTCTCGCCAACGGTCAGTCTCTTCTCTCAATTCCCCAAAAGTATATAGCTGTATATTCCAGTAAAGTTATTATTTTTTGTGGAATCTCACATTCTAAATTGAAGGCTTCATGTTAAGTCTTTAGATAGCTAAATATTACAATTATTTTGCAAATCATTTTAGGATAACACATTTTCGTTACTCAATACCTTACCTACATCCTTGCTCTTTATGTTCTGTATTTTTCAAACGATCTGGAGAAACCTTAAAGTTATTACTGAATAAAATCAAGGAAACAGTGTAATTTATTCACAATACTATGGGACTTTAATAATTTAATTAACTAACACATAAATTGAGAGAAATAACTATAGGTTTTATTGAAATATTTCACTAATTTTATAGATTATGCATTAACCTAATATTAAATTGCAGTTTCTACCAATTTTTAATAATTGTACGTTGTTTCAACTAATCAGTGAACACCTTAGAAAAAAGCCTATTTAACACTGACCACGAATATTCATTTTTTGTTATTGTTTTGTAAAGTTTTATGGTCAAAGATGAAACTGCTAGTTTATATGAGTTATAATTAACTTCATGTGGACTTACTAATATTAATTCGGTGATGATTACGCCGACATATTTTATGACCTTTGTGATATAAATGGTACCTATGAGTTGTCTGTCAACTTTTATGACCAAGATTTTCACTTATATGAGTTAAAGTAGTATTAACATAAATGAAACTTAAGTTTAAGACTGTCAACTTATGTTTCATATCAGTCTTTCAGCAGTATGGTGATATTTTTTTCAAAATCTACGGAGTAGTTATTCAAATTTTGCACCTTATAATTGATAAGTTTTATTTCTTCCTCCTATCACCAAGATCTTATTCGTTCCATTTTAGATAACAATAGCTGAGAGTTACTGCAGAGACAACTAGCTGAAAAACTGTTTAATCCCCTCTCTTCTACTGCCATCAGAAAAGGAGCTTTATACGCCAGCAAATATTTTTCACTAACATTCGAGAAACGAAAATAACTGTGGTCGGATACCTTCAACCTGCTCTTTTTTCAGTATATTATTTCACTGTTTTACGAACTAGCATTTTCTTTTAACATAAAACAGACTGATAACAATCCTTTAAATGGCTGGTGAAGGCATGAGCAGTTCGTCAATTCAACCTAGAAAAGGTTTTCTCAATCGTTGTTGTATCAATGATTTTTAAATCTTCCTTTCTTTTTTCCATTCTACTTTTACTGAATGATTCCCTAACACTGTTCTTACTGTTTCCTTCACTTTGTTCAATTTCTAATTGTTACTTCCACAGTCCTGTTCATTATCACTTAGTTTATTTTTCTTGTCTCTAGAATGCAATTTTGGTTCATTGTATCTATTACGCCACTGCCTCCTATTATAAAACAACATTCCTCTATGCATTTTAATTCCCCATATATTTGAATTCTCTACATTAATATTTTCAAGTATCAGTGGTTATTATAAAATACGCAAAAAGTGGAAATGTATCACTTCCATTTTTATTTGCAACTAATCCAATTCATTTATTAAATTTAGTACCGTAAGTCCGATTATCCCGTGTAAATTATAAAAGAATTCAAACTTATGTAGTCATTACTGTTATTAATACGAACTATTGATTATTTCATTGTTTTTTGAAAGTCTGGTTTGTTGGAATTTGATTAATTTTCAGATAACTTTCGTTACCAACCGACACCAATTAGAGAGCTAATGAGTGTAGGATGCGATATGTTGCAAAATGACAGAGAACAAAATCAATGGGCCATGTTATTTTGATCCTTCAGATGAATGGTAAATTGCTTGCTTCTTAATCTAACTGTTGCAAGTTTGTTCAATATTGGGGACACGGGAATGAATCGAGGAAGACTGTTGTCTGGTTCTCTACTTCACATCCGTTAGCAACAAAATTCACACTGGTATTTTTGACTACCGACGCACACCTGATATCTATGGTCGGCCTGTAAAATTTGGGCTACCGTATCATATGCTGAAAATTCCATACTTGTCCAAAAATACTGTGTGGCTTCAAGCTCTAATCAAAAAACAAATCAATACTGCTGGAGGTGTAACAGAAAAGTCCACTTTCACTGATTGTATCCAGTTCACAGGCCATCGGATCGGGTCCCAGTGTATTAATGGTCTATGGGTTTGCCTTGTAACTGGAAGGTCCTGTGTTTGAACCCCCGTGGGTGCGTACTGAAGAAGAGTCTTAAACTAAGACGAAGCAGCTCTCACGTTTCCCAGTGGTTCTCCAACCGATGTCAGCTCATGATGAAATTCTGTATCCACTTTTTTTTATCCTTTTACAGTAACAGTCGCCGTTTCTAAGCTTCTTTAATTTTCACCGGTTGTTCGTGAGACAATTTTTTTCTAAAAGTTGTTGCCTTTCACGCAAAATTATATGGTTATTAGTATTGCACAACTGTAAATAAATCTCTGGAAACGTTGAACTGCTTACTACCAGGCTGCATTGATAGAGCATTAAGCTTTGAAACAGCACACGTAATGATTACGGCTAAAATCTCAATAACATCAGAAATACTGAGTGAATAGGGTAATATAACTGATTGATGAAAACCTATGGACGAACAAATCTCTACGTCACACAGTTGGTTGTCTTAACTGTAACCGAATTGAAGTAAACGATGACAATGGTTGACTGAACAGACAAATACGCTAGATACTTGATTATCACTATCATTATTATTCCCTTAGGTTCCGAGGAGAACATAGGGCTTCAACAACACATCTACATTTCATCCAGTTCTCTGCGGTTCGTTTCAGCTGACTCCACAATTTCTCATAAGCTTTCATCTCTTAACGCGATTTCTTCCATATAATCTTCGGACACTGAACTCATCATTTCCCATTGGGTTTCAGCTAGAGAGCTTGCAGTGTGATGTCACTAAATGCTCTCCTCAGAGAATGTCCACTCCATTTCCTTCACTCAGAATTTTCAGCTTGTTTTATTGCAAGATATTTAATCCTTGTGCAAGATATTGAAGCAATATGGTTCCATCCAAAGCTTACTGCATTACTGCGCAAAGTTTTTCTTCCATTTCTTACGAAATATTGGTAGCAGTAGTTTGAAAATGTACATGAGAGTAGGTTACAATTCATAAACGTAGTTAGATGGTTAAAACAATATGAAATGCAGTAAATATCATGCATTTGATCAATGAAAACAAAATTTTGGTAGCCCAGTGATTTAAGCAGCTGGAAGATTAGATTGCCACTTGTAAAGCCTTTCATTTGTAAAACTCTCAGCGAAATTAAAATGAATAATCCCAACGTTTCGTTCAGTGGACTGGGTCAAACGTCTTCATAGGACAAATCAAAAGTATATTTAAAAAGGCACATCTTGTCTTTAAAATTCTTGTCTTATCATGCCTGGGTCATCACAAATGGTTATTAAAAAAAGAAATAAAAGTGTGATCAAGGTTTGACCGGATAGTTTCACGAACTCATTATTAGTCTTTTTTGTTATGCACTGTACACAGTGTATACTTTTGCATCAACCTTTAATGAAAATGTTGGAATAAAAGTTACGAAGATATGGAGAGTAGTAGGGGAATCTTTATTTGAAAGCGTCTATGTATCTATTTCTCAACAAATATGTAGGAGAAAATGGAGATGAGTCGGACATACATTGAGAGGACCGTTGAATGACATCGTACGTCAAGCCATCGAGTGGAATTCAAATGGGAAGCGACGAGTGGGTTGTCCTAGGGTGACATGGAGGAGATAGTGCGAAGAGGAAATGAGAGATTATGGGCGATCGTATACCCAGCTGAAGAGGACGGCAGAAAATAGAAGGAAGTGGAGATGTGTTGTTGAAGCCCTATGTTCCACTCGGAACCCAAAGGAGTAATAATAATGTATCTATTTAGTTACCATCACAAGGTGTGTGGTCAAAAAAAGCTGACTACACTCTAATAATTAAGCCTTCTTGAATGCTTTTCTTTTAAAATCTATTCTTAATTGATCGTCTTAGACAGTTAATCTCCAGTACAGAACACGGTAGAAGTCACAATGTTGAATTTATTGGCAAACACTAACAATGTTTGACTTAAAGCTATAGAGTTGTATTTATGAAATCATATCGCAGACAGTTAATAGCTATCTTACCGTCTAAGTAAGTGAGATGCAACCACAGAATCCATGATGTGATTGCTTCAGAGGTGAATGTTTCCACTAATGGTATTATACGATAAAAGTTCATTGATTTCTGTCCTACCAGTTATCAGCAATGCAGTTAAAAAGAATTCCAATCTGAGTTTCTCTATTATGGTCTTTTATTTTTGCTGGAAAATTGTCGTACATACATTGATTTTGTAATCAATCAGAAGCATGAAATATATCTGGATGTCAAATGAAAAGATAAGCGTTCCATACACACCTAAAATCATTCTATGGTGGTATTGAAACCACTGAACTTCCGATCGAATGAAAGCCATAAATCGAATTTACTATTTAAATTTTAAATCCTACTCCATTGTGAAATAATAGAGAAGATTTATACCTCAGGTGGATGATTTGCAATTAGTTGTGTTCTCTGAGCTGGTTGGTTTAATTGCGGAGCTTTCGTTGTCCTTCTGGACAGCATCTTCAGAGCAAGTTTTAGCATAAAATGAACTGATTTAAATTCTCCATGAATAATAGAATTGGGCCTCCTGGTAACCATCTTCGTAACTGGTAGTCGATTAACATCTGTACTCCATTGTCTTAAAGCCATTCAGATGGTCTAAATAGAAATCAACTATCTTATTGTACACTGATGCAATATAACTGATTGAGTGATTGATTATTTTCTAATTGGATTAGTTATTTTCATTTTTTTGGTTTTCTCAGTTATTTTGACGTGTGCATCGTAAGTGTATTCGAAATCTCAGCACGGATACAGAGGGCTAGTTTTGCATATGCCAGTTTACGCCGTCTCTGGCGTAGACGTGATATCCGACTATCGACCAAAGGGCGTTTGTACTGCTCATCAGTCCGCTCCGTCCTCCTTTATGGCTGTGAGACCTGGCCATTGAGAGCGGAAGACATGAAAAGATTAGCTGTGTTCGATCATAGGTGTCTGCGTTCTATCTCCCGCGTGAAGCGGTATAATAAGGTGAGCAATATTGAGGTTAGGCGTCGAGTGCTAGGTAAGGAGGGGAAATCAATAGACGAGGCTGTAAAATTACACCGACTGAGATGGTTAGGACATGTGTTACGTATGCCTAATCATCGCCTTCCTCGATGGGCAATGTTTGCTGATATAGGGTCAGGCTGGAAAAGAGCTAGCGGCGGTCAAACGAAAACATGGCACCAGTCAATGAAATTCACAACAGTTAGTCTAAGCCACGTAGGAAGGTGTAGACTTCCTGGTTGGGGTCCTCGGGACGGTAAAAACCAATGGTTGGAAACAATTGATGATATGGCTCAAAATCTTTCTCAGCGGCGCAGATGCACTCCTTGTGACTTATGATCTCCAATTAAACTGTTTTGTTCTTCGTTATTACTATTCCTTTGTCCCACACCTCTGTTTACTGTCTCTAATATGCATTTCTCTTGCTTTGTGTGCTATATGGAGTGTGGCGAATTGAACTGCCGCACATATGTGCAAAGTTCTATGTCGAAAACAGACAGACAGACAGTATTCGATAAGTGAAGCGGGATATATGCAAAACTACCAGATGTGATCATCTGTCACATCGTCATTCGTGATGGTATTATGTGCTACTACACATTTGGCATTTAACCTAGCACCAAGAATTCACTGTTCGTGGCAGTCGTCATAACGCTATATTTCTTACTCTCAAGAGCCTGGTGTCCACGTGCATATTTCAACATATATTCCACAGAGGTATATTCAGATATGTAGCCACTCTGTTGATTTATGACTTCGCTTTCATCTGAATTTATGTACAATGAAATATTCAGTCTTTATGTAATACAACTGCTAAAGTTACACAGAACCTATTTTGCGGGATTTTCTGGAAGTATTGGACAAAATCAAAGAAGACAAGTGAGAACACCGAACGGTAAAATTTTAACACTACACACAAGTGCCGTTGTATTGTTTCTATCTCTCTTTGAGTGTTTCCTTTTTTGGAACGTGGATAGCTGTGTACCACCAATATGAATACCTCTGTTAAAGAATACTACAAAAGTCTTGCAAATCTTAATTTTTAAAAAAACAGAAAGTCTTGCAACCTGACAAATACTTGTTGCAGCAGCAATATATCGTCTCACGGTAGGGTAACGTTGATTAATCTAGATAACGCCTTTGTAAGCACATTGACGATCCTGTTGAACATAATGTTCCTTTTTGGTATTTGCAGGTATGTCATTGAAAAGTAAACTTAGAAGCCTTATGAAAAAAGGAGTTCCATCCACACCGATGCCATCAACTGCAACTCAACTGAAAGCTTTCCACTTATATATAAAAGTTAAAGTAGTTGAAATAGTGAATCACCAAAACATGACAAAAGCATATCGTATTTTAAGAATATGTTGGTTTAATGTCTATTTAGTGTGAACTCAGTTATCTTGTTAACATCATCAAAAAAACAACGAATTCACGCTTACGGACATTTGTAGGGGAACAAATATTGGAATAAAAAAATTCAAATTAATGAAATGATATATATATATATATATTATAAAAAATACAGTTAACGAGTTATATAAATAAAGGGTTACTTGGTTATACTGTTAAAGTTCACTGCTACAAATTATTAATATAATCCACAGACGTGTTCACTGTTGGAGTCGTGTCCACTGGTATTGTATAGAAGAAAAGACCGAGGAGGCTAGTAGAATATTATATATTGTACACAGTAATTGTATCGTCACATTCGATAGCTTCTTGGATTCTGCATCATATGGCAACATTCTTCTCATAGTTCTCTTCTTTGATTGCTCTTTCCAGTGTGCAAAACATATTGTTACTTTTCTGAATTCGCTTTCTGATATACTACTTATATCGGATTATAAGTAGCACTCACCACAGTATAAGTTGTGCACCGGTTGTAGAATAATCTTCGGATAGGGATTAAAGATTCCCACAAAAATTCAAAGGATACAACACGGTTAGTAGTGAAGCAAGTAAACAACATAGACCAGTGAGAAGACGAAGCGTCGAGCAGCACACTGTAGTTTTGATTGTACTCCAAAGTTATGTATATTTTACAATGAATCGTATTAAACAAAAGTTATGTACAATGTTTCCATTTTTAACATCTAACAAAAAACTGTACAATCATATTGTTCGAGACTTCACACATTTTATCTGCACTGTTTTCTTCCTTCTGTCATAAATATTCACAATTCTCAGCAATAATATTCTATTTTTCATAATTTCTTTTGATATCTGTTAATAATGATGAAATTTCGATATTACGTGTTATGAATGTCTCTACTTGCAAAATGAGTGAAAAGCAATAGAATAAAATATAAACATGTATAAGGCTTTTCAACACACCCTGAAGTTTATCCCCATGGTGAATCTTACTCAGAAAATGATCAACCTAGAACCTCTGTGTGTTTGTGTTCGATTATAAGCCACATCATTTATAATCTATGGTTAAAGTAAGCATAGGATTCAAACTATCTACATGTCCATGAAGATACAAACCAGTAGTGAAATACTCTTTTAGGCGAATTCACTTTCTTAAGCTGTTCAGCAGCGTACATAGAATGGTCAGTTTTACAGTATTACTGAATAACTCTATCTAACTCAGCTACTATAACATTCAATTTACTTGAGCAATCACAACCCTTATTTGTGTTTTAATTGATTGATAAATATTAAATAACATGAAGTATTTTTTCGGCTTCGCTCTATTTGACGAATCCAGTTTACTTATTCTGAAGGGTCTAAATAAATGTTGTGTTTGGAAAACTACTAGGTTCTCAATTACAACGGATGTTTAAGAAATGTGTAAAAATTATTATGCCTCCCTTGCGTTCTGTTATAACGGTGATAAAGCTTAAATGTTGCTGAGATTTCGCTTCATATCTCCTGTCACTTCAACACACGACAAGATACAACTGATTACTTGGATATTGTTCCCACACTGAGAAGACACAGTAGACTGAATAAGACGGAAAAGATTCATTTCTCTACGCGAAAGGCAATATCACCTAAAATTACACCTATTCATATCATTATTTTACAGTGTAAGATATAAAAACTATGTTTTGACTAATTAGCATATACCGTTTAACATCCACTGAGCCAAACTTAATCTCCTTTATAGTCAAATGCCTGATTTACAGGTCACATAAACATTAAGTCATAATATATCTCCCCCTGTCCTAACACGTTCCGAGCAGAACACAGAGTTTCAGTAGCACATTTCCATTACACTCGGTTCTCTCCTATTATTTTCAGTTGGTCCCGCGACTGCTCACAAGCTTTCATTTTCTCTTTACACATGGCGTTTTCCATGACTCTCGGGTGCCTAACTCATCGCTTTCTGTTCGGGTTCCACCTGAATGTTTTCCATGTGACGTTACTTGGTTGTCTCTTCAACAAACGTCCAATCCCCCCTATTACCTTTTGTATATTTTTTAGACAATATATTCTTGGTTATGGTACCCTGCTACCTATCTTTTTCATCTGATCTTCACTATCAAACGAAGAAAGCTTTTGGTGGAAATCTAAAGCCTGTCAAAAATGCTTTAGGTGACATTCCATATCTCTGAACCATAGAGAAGCACTGACTGACAAATCTGGATATTACTCCATGTGTTAAGTGTTTTAGGACTCCGTATCAATTTCGGGGTTATGAATGTCTGTCTTGCTTTCGCGGTTCTGGTTGACTTTAGCATCCTCATCCCTTCCACCCTCCTTTTGGTTGAAACAATGCTGCGAAGTAACTGAAAGAGACAACTTCCTCAACATTTCCCTGTTTGATGGTAGCTGCTGAAAATGGCACATTTCCCTCCTCAATGACTCACTTGGATTGGTCTAAATGTAACAGCCGGACAATTCAAGCTGTCTCAAAAGTTACAAACAGGTATCACCGATTTGTGTGAAAGATTCTAAACTACTAAAAAAGTCTAAATGCATTGTTCATTTCGTCTACACACTTTTGCGATATAACAATGATAGTTTTAACATTTTAATTTCACTAGAAACTTACAATTCAACTCAATTGTTGAGCAACATGTCATACTTACCACGAAGAGTAAATTCACAAAACATTTACTTCTAAACAAAAAGGAGTTTCGAATGAGTTATGAATAACCAAAATACACAAGTACAATTTGTGGAAGTAAAATACTACCCATTTCTAATCTCTATAAATATTGTTATTTCTTCCAATTCTCAAAAATCACTTAATGTTACATTCTTTATATAAGTAACTTATTAATTATTAATGGGAATAAATGTAATTCATTAGTATAGGAAAACCCATAAACTGTCAAGTGGAACTTCACTGTGCCCGTAGCAATAGCCGAAGTGGTAGCAATCAAAGCCTAGCCTAACGTATGTATCCAGAAGAAATTTTCCACCCAATTATCTTATCCTGAGTTCAAATCAAGATGAAAATGTAAAATAACTGACTATTTATCTGTGTTATACTTGTACAGCAATACAGTTTTTGATAATTTTATTTTCCCCTTTATTAGCTTTTTTATGTTAACATCAATGGATTTATAGCCGTAAAGCCTAGAGAGAAATTTACTTTAAATACCTTTTCACCAGTGACTGAATCATCTTAAGGCATCGTAAGAAAATCCATACTAGGAGTTGATATGTTAACGGAGACTGAGCATTTCCATCCAATAAAATCAGTTGAAGGGAAATCTAAGTGATGATTTCAACAAACCCTTTGCTCTTATGATACTTGTAGTGAATAAACCTGTTTCTAATACACAACGTATTGATCGTAATTTCTTTAAGTTATCGACTGTTGACGAATAAAATCATAATTTCATAATAAACCTCAAAAAAAATCTACTAAATGGCTTACTATTTTAACTGTTGAACCCAAAATATATCAACTAATGTGCATACTTACACATGTAATGACCTTGAATAGCAATTAAAAATCTATAATTCCTATTTAGTTGTATATAGTCCGGTTTAAATAGTCCCATTGATCGTGAGTGGAATAAATAACACTTAGTTCTTGCAACATTTTTTTTCAAAGTATTCATTTTAAAGAAGAAAAAAAATGTGTTTTAGAGGTGTAAAATCACCTGAAAATGAGGGAGTTGATTCAGTTAAAAGCACTCAGTCGAATAAACTTTCACCGTCTAAAATCGAAAGAGAAAAGTCCAAATCAACATTATGCTCACTATCATTTTCACCAAAATCACATTCTCCAAAATCTAGTGAACAAAAACGTCGTAAGCATATTCTTTCAAATGAAGAACTAAATCAATTAACAAAACAAAGTAGTCAACATCTTTATCATTTTAATATGCCACTGACTACAGATTGTGAATGACATAATACAAATATTGTAAACAATGTATGCATTTAATAATAACTAGTAAAAACATGCAACGATTTTGGTATAAATTTACACAGAAATATATTAATATTCATATACTTTACTTACTATGATAAAAAGAAGAAAGTTAACTTTATTTTAATAATGAGATGTTAGTTGTTTTGTTTGAAAATTTGTTTCATCTTCTACATTTTCACATCTATGAAAAGTATTCAAACGTCAGTAGCATCAGTTTACGAAAATAATCAATTAATTTAAAAGACAATTCGTTTTTCTCTCATAAGCCAAGGTAATGCAAATGATTAATTACACATTCACAATCCGCCATATATATTTGTTTATAATGTTTTTTTAAAATGGATATTTTGTTTTATACAGATGTACTGCGACATACTCTTGTTTAACTGATCCGGATTTAATCGCGTCTTCAACTTCATTTTTAACCATTAACTATAATTGTAATGATGCACACTGCATATAATAACTACAGAAGTTGTAGTTTCTACAAAAACCACTAATTTTCATCATAAAAACACTGGTAACCAGATGGCTTAACCAGCCTTTCAGGAATAACTGTTCATCATATAGGCAAAACTTCACATGATTAATTTACTTACTAAAAGCAAATTGACAGACTACAAGAATGCTGTATGTTCTAATGCATTTCGGTGGTTCTCGACAAATACCGTAAAAATGAAGTAAATTCACTGACCATATTAAGTGGTGTTATAATAGTAGTAAAGTTTTGCCACCTCAGAAAAATATGACAGCTGTTTAAGCTGACTTGTGCTGATTAAAATGTTTACATAATTGCACAGAAATTTACTGAAATATTATAATTTTCATAATAATTGACAAAACAACAGGATATTCGGTAAAAATAGTCGATGATGGGTTCAAAATTGAAATGCTTGTAACCAAATTATGTGGATTCAGGTATTTATTATTATTATTCTTTCCTTTGGTTCCAGGTGTAACACAGATATTCAAAGCACATGTTTTCACTCTATTATTGTCAGTCTTATTGAGCTGGTTCCATGATCTGGAATTTGTTATATGCGGTGTATCATTCGTTCCACCCAAAAGGCAAAAATTGGTTAAAGGCATCTATAGTAAAATGACTTATGTTTTTATATCTTCAAAGCCGTAGAGTAGGTCAGAACAAACCGTTATTCAGTACGCATACCCCTAGACAAAACAGAATTTGCTTCATACAGTTTATTGTTACATAAATACTATGTGAGACTTTAAAATCTATTGACCAATTAACTCTTTGAGACGAGTAGACTCCACAGATTTCTCTTTTCAATAGCCTCCAACAGCACGATACGGAAGAAATTCCTGTGGCATTTACCATATGTAAAGTTTTACCTAAACACATTCTTGGCAGTATATAATTATTTCTCTTAAGTTTTCATAGACATAATTACAGAAAAAGATATCAACGGTTATAATCAGTATTTTCCACTTTGTCAATACCAATAACTGACGTGTGAAAGCATGGAGTTAATGACATTAAATGAGGATATTTGGATGCCATTATAACCTTGATACTCCATGTGGAATATATCTGACTGCATGAATCTGAACAATATATATTTAATACAATAAAATAATGAGGACTGTTGAGATTCAACCTAAACGAAAACAGAACTGTCAGAAATACGATTAAAAAGAAATTAATTAACACTAATGCCATATTTATATTTAAGTAATATAATGTACCTAAGAACTTGGCGATTACGATGTGATTTAATTGACTTCAAGACAGATTTTATCTTAAACTAATATTGAAACCAAAATTAATGAAAACAAAAGTGGGATATTTTCCAAAGACTTGCATCAGTTTGAGATATGATGCTCTGTGAAGAAAACAAAAAGTAAGAAGATAGAAATATAACAATACTAAAATGAAAAATGAACTAGAAAGAAAGGAAAATTGATGAAGAATGGTGAACATTTTCAGAATTTTTATGACAATGAGTGAGTATATTTTCTGCATTGCAAACGATTTCCAGCCACGTCACCAAATGAATGCAAGCATTCCAACGACTTCAGATAGGACTATCTAATCTAAACTCCTCTATATCGCGGAGATTAATAGTCAGTAATTTCATGGATTTGTATCGGATTTTGGTCTGGTTATCCCTAACTCTTTTAAAACTTAGTCCTTCATTTTAATTGCCTTGACTCATCTATAAAGGAGATGGCTTGGCATGCGTAACATATGGCTTGATCATATCTCATTCGATGAAGACTGATAATTTAATCAACTGACGTTTCTTTTTATATAGCACACCGTGTCTAACTCCATTATTACGTACTTTTTTGTTCCACCTAAAGTAAGCGATGAAACGAAAACAGATGTGGTCAAAAAATTTGTAATGCTTTCATTTCTTCCTTGCCAAATTTACACACATATCCTTTAAGGGCGTTCTGAAGACCCTGTACATTTTCAATGTTTTCACACTTTTGTTTGTATCTTCCAAATCAACAATACCTTTACCTGGTATCAGTTTGATTCCTGAGATGTTCAAATCAAACGAAGGTAAATACAAGTTAATTAAGAATAGCAAAATTTTACATTCTCAGTAAATATCAATGAATATCATTACTTCAGACGACAACCTTTCACAAACTCTAGTACTACTACGTAAAGTCAAGCAGTGTCTTGATTGGCGCAATAAACTTTTTCGGCATTTCGCCCAGTGAAACATTACTATAACACTTCTCGAACATCAAGCATCGCATTCTCCTCAAGATGTATGACAAATACTGGATGCCGATATATATATGTATGTGTGTGTGCTGAAACCCGACCGTTAGCTTTTATCTCGATGCGATGGTTTGCTTTGTATATTGCCATGACCCAACAGCCTCTACTGGCTGGAATGAGTTTTCCTGCATTTCCCATTGTGTCAGGTTAGACTAGGAGCAGTTACCATTATAGTATGTGTTGCGTGCTGTATACTGTGGATAGATGGGGATATAACGCCAGTGAGGTGTTTCCCTAGGATGACTAGCGAACCAATTGTGCTATCTTCCGCCCCTGTGACGTAGGGATTAGGAGAGGTCAATACCGAAAATCATACATTTCGACTTATTATTTTATATAATCTAAGAAGATACCAACTTCCAAGGTGTGGGTAGCCAGAAGTAGCCACTGCTGACAAATATGAGCACAGAAAGTTCACCTGTTCCTCACCTACCATCTTTCGTTTTCTTCACACTATACCATCTACCAGACAGGCGATTTGTTTTTTCTGGACTTTGTAACTTACTGGAGAATGGAGTGATATAAGCAGCACCTGCAGTATGTTGAAACCAGTTTTTCAACTCCATATTAGAGCTTTCCACTTCTGATATAACTCCAAATGAGCTTGAAGTTGGTTACGACGAATTACTGACTAGGTTAAACAACGTATTAGCTAGAGTATGGGACTTTGAGATAGTTCCAACGTGTTGATGTAGATCGGTGAAAGTGCAACTTTTCAAGAAAGGAAATAAATGTTCCTATGAGATTCATAGATGGATCAGCTTTACCATCATACTATCTAAGGTTTTTTGTTCCACAGTCATATTTAGATTAAGTCTGACTAGAGAGAAATAAACTTCAAGAAACAAAACAAACATAAGAGATTGATTCGGAATTGAAGGAGAATGTACTGGCCCTATCTCTACTTTTTGACAGATTCTGGAGTGTAGAAATATTCGCAGGCATTTGTTGACTGGAAAGCGGCTTACTGGATAAAAAACAAGTTTCGGAAAAGTGTCATACTAATCAAGGTATTGTGCTCGAACTCTTGTTTCTGTGTAATTACTCATGGAAAGCTTCCATCAGATATAACAACAATCACTGTTATTCCTCTCAAATGTCTGATTTACTTCATAACTATTGAAATAATGGACGTGAGACTTACCGACTCTGATGTTTCAGGAAATGAAATGTTGCCAGGGAAATGTTTCATCTAGCTGGAGTATCCAGGCAATGTAGTCCTCCTGGATGAAGACGCTGGTAAAATGTATCACCCTTGAAACATCTTCAGCAGAAATTTTAGTATGTTTGGCATGCAGTGAGCCTCTGCCAGATGTAAGATGATGCTGCATGACTGGTCTGTACTGACTCCTAATTTAATTAAGGATGCAGAGTGAAATGACCACATTTGTCGACCACTTCATTCATTTGTAAAATTACGTCATCAGTAATGGACTGACTGCTAACGAAATCTCAGATCTTATAGCATGTGCCAACTTGTGTCAACTTGGCACAGAAATAATACTCGGATATCCATCAAAGGACATCTATGCTTTGCAGCATCTCCTTCTATCCTACTTAACGCTCGTCATAGATAGCTACTGAAACAAGGCAGATTTGAAAATATTATGCATTATCGACAATAATTTTCAGCCTTAAACACTTCTACGCTAGGTGGCGCAACGAAACTAGTAATAACGAGGTTAGGCATACAGTATCTGGTTAGCAGGAGAAAGCAATCTATGAAGTTGTTAAGCTGCATTGACTGAGAAGGATAGAAAATTTGTTACGCCTTCCTCAACGAGCAATGTTAGCTGATATAATAATAGGTTGGAAAAGAATTGGTGGTGGTCAAACGGGAACATGACATCAGTCCATGAAGGTAGACTGTCACTGTGAGCTATGTAGTGTGGTGCGGACTGTGGCCAGAGTTGATGGGATGCTAAGAATAATAAGTTTGATAATGTTGGTGCCATCTATGAAAATCATTTGAAATGGTACAGATATATCCGCCTCTTGTGATATTTCATATATTGAGAATCCTCCTCAGTGTTCTTTCCGCCTTACATAGTTGCTCATTATGGTTGAACTTCATTTCCTTCATCTGCTTTTATGTAGACTTTTCCGAAGTTTTGCAGCTTAATCTACTCAACCTTTATATGAAGTTCTACGTCGATACTTCATTTAGGAACTTGTCGAGGGGTAAAGATTTGATGAATGTATCCACATTTAGACAACA